TGACCGTTAGGTGTGTGAGACCGGGCACTGAGTGACCGTTAGGTGTGAGAGACCGGGCAGTGAGTGACCGTTAGGTGTGTGAGACCGGGCAGTGAGTGACCGTTAGGTGTGTGACTGGTCAGTGAGTGACCGTTAGATGTGGTGACCGTGCAGTGAGTGACCATTAGATGGGTGTGACCGGACAGTGAGTGACCGTTAGGTGGGAGTGACCTGTCAGTGAGTGACCATTAGATGTGTGTGAACTGTCAGTGAGTGACCGTTAGGTGGGAGTGACCGGGCAGTGAGTGACCGTTAGATGTGGTGACCGGGCAGTGAGTGGCAGTTAGGTGGGTGTTACCGGGCAGTGAGTGACCGTTAGGTGGGTGTGACCGGGCAGTGAGTGACCGGGCAGTGAGTGACAGTTAGGTGGGTGTGACCGGGCAGTGAGTGACCGGGCAGTGGGTGACCGGGAAGTGAGTGACAGTTAGGTGGGTGTGACCAGGCAGTGAGTGACAGTTAGGTGGGTGTGACCGGGCAGTGAGTGACCGTTAGGTGTGTGTGACCGGGCAGTGAGTGGCCGTTAGGTGTGTGTGACCGTTAGGTGTGGTGACCGGGCAGTGAGTGACCGTTAGATGTGGTGATTGGTCAGTGAGTGACCGTTAGCTGTCTAACTGGTCATTAAGGGGCCGATCAGTGAACTGATCTGTAATATTGCTTCCCCTGTCTGTCTTGCTGAGCAGGTGAAGGTTCAGAAGGACCAAGCAGCTGCCCAACTCACTGATGTCCTGGAGAACGAGCTGCAGTGTATCATCTGCTCTGAGCACTTTATTGAGGTAGAGCACACATTGCCCAGTATCCCATTCCACATAACCCTCTCTCCCTACCCTTCTAACCTGACTCTCTTTATCGTCTCTCTCTGTCCTCAATCGGTCACACTCTGTGTCTCTGACTCCCTTTCTCGCTCTGTCCTCTCAGTCATTCTCTCTCTCTCTCTGTTTCCCCCTCTATACTCAAAGACACTCTGACCTCAGTCATTCTGTCTCTCTCTGTCACACACACACTCTCTTTCTATCTGTCTCTCCGACACACATTCACACACACACACACACACTCTCTCTCTCTCTCTCTCTGTCTCTCCGACACATGCGCACACTCTGTCTCTAACTCCTGTCAGACAATCACTCTGACTCTCTGTCTCTGAGCTAATTTGAAGTCATGCACTTTAGCAGGAAGATTCAAGAGCTGGATATTATTTAAACAGGGAAAGATTGCAAAAAGGTACACAACAAAGGATTTGGGAGACCCTGTCTATGAATGACAAAAAGCTACCATTCAAGTTCAGTGGCTAATAGGGAAGGCAAATGGAATGCAGGCTTTTATTTCAAAGGGACTGGAGTACAAAAGTAGGGTTTAGCTAAGACTATGTTAGGCACTTGTCAGACCACAGCTGGAATACTGTGAAAGATTTGGGTCCTGTAACTAAGGAAGGGTAGACTGGTATTCGAGACTGTGTTGGTGAAGGTTCACTCGGCTGATCCCAGGTCTGGAAGGATTCTGATGAGGAAAGGTTGAGTACGTTGTACCTGTACTCATTGGAGTTTAGAGAATGAGAGGTGAGCTTATCGAAACAGGAGGCTGCTAAATAAAACAAGAGCCCGTGGTGTTCGGGGTAAGGTACATGCATGAGTAGAGGATTGGCTAACTGGCAGAAGGCAGAGAGTGGGGATAAAGGGATCTTTTTCATGATGGCAGCCACTAACTGGTGATGTTAGAACAGATTAGAATAGAATCCCTACAGTGTGGAAACAGGCCATTCAGCCCAACAAATCCACACCGACCCTCCAAAAAGTATCCCACTCAGACCCATCCCCCTACCCTATTCCTGTAACCCTGCATTTCCTATTGGTGAACTTACACATCCCTGAACACTATCGGTAATTTAGCAAGGGCCAATCTACCCTAACCTGCACATCTTTGGACTGTGGGAGGAAACTGGAGCACCCAGAGGAAACCCACACAGACAGTCACCCGAGGGTGGAATCGAACCCGGACCCCTGGACACCATGCCACAGGGGTCAGAGGTAGGACCACAGCTATTCACGTTATACATTAATGATCTGGATAAAGGAACTGAGGGCATTGTTGCTAAGTATGCAGATGACACAAAGCTAGGTGGAGGGCCAGGTAGTGTTGAGGAAGCAGGGAGGTTGCAGAAGGACTTGCACAGGCTGGGAGAGTGGGCAAAGAAGTGACACACAGAATACAATGTGGGAAAATGTGAGGTTTTACACTTTGGTCGGAAGAACTGAGGCATAGGCTATTCTCTAAATGGGGAAAAGCTTCAGAAATCTAAAGCACAAAGGGACTTGGAAGATCTAGTTTTGGATTCTCTTAAAGTTAAAATGCAGGTTCAGTTGGCAGTTAGGAAGGCAAATGCAATGTTAGCATTTATTTCCAGACGACTAGAATACACGAGCAGAGATGTACTGCTGAGGCTGTATAATGCTGTGGTGAGGCCGCGTTTGGAATACTGAGAGCAGTTTTGGGCCCTGTATCTAGGGGAGGATGTGCTGGTGTTGGAGGGGATACAGAGGGGGTTTACAAGAATGAACCTGGGGATGAGGAGTGGTTGAGGACTCTGGGTCCGTACTCAATGGAGTTTAGAAGGATGAGGGGGAGGAATCTGATACAGAATACTGAGAGGCCTGGATAGAGTGGATGTGGAGAAGATGTTTGCACCAGTGGGAGAGACTAGGACCCATAGGTACAGCCTCAGGGTGAAGGGACAACCCTTTAGAACTGCAAAGAGGAGGAATTTCTTCAGCCAGAGGGAGGGGAATCTGTGGAACTGATTGTTGCTAAGGGCTATGGGAGGCCAAGTCACAGAGTGTACTTCAGACACGGGGTTACTCCACGAGAATGGGGTTGAGAAATATATCAGCCATCATCGAATGATAGAGCAGATTTAATGGGCCGAATAGCCTAATTCTGCTCCTATATCCTATGGTCTTATGAAAACATACAAGATTCTTAGGGACTTTTAGCTAGGTCGATGCGGAGGGGTTGTTTCCCCTTGTGGGAGAGAGTAGGACCAGAGGATATAATCTTAGAATGAGGAATCGCACATTTAAGACAGAGAGGAGGAGGATTCTTTTTTCTCTCAGAGGAAGTGACTGTGGGGAATTCTTTATCACAGAGGGCTGTCGAGGCTGGGTCATTCAGTATATTCAAGGCTGAGCAGAAAAGGAATTATGGGGAAAAGGCAGGAAAGTGGAGCTGAGGATTATCAGACCAGCTGAGGTCACATTGAATGGTGGAGCAGATTCAATGGGCTGAATGGCCTACTGCTCCTATATCTTATGGTCTGTCAGATTGTCACTGTGTATGTGTCTCTGTTTCACTTCAGGCTGTCACTCTGAACTGTTCACATAGTTTTTGCTGTCACTGTATCCTGGAGTGGAGGAAGAGGAAGGAGGAATGTCCCATCTGTAGGCAGACCATCCTTTCACAGACACGCTCTGTGGTTTTGGATAACTGTATTGAACGTATGCTGGAGAATCTGAGTGAGGCAATGAGAGAGCGCAGACTACAACTCATCAAAGAGAGGAAAGGTGAGCACAGCACTGCAGACATAGTCTCATTTCTATCACACTGTAATGTTACAGAGAGAGAATAACCAAACCCCTCTAATAATTAAACCAAAACACAAGATCCAATCTGTAATGACTGGAATAGAGCTTCCCTTCTAATAATTACCCCCATAACATGCAGAGAAGTTCGCCTTTCCCCTCGTTATCTGTTAAAAGAAAGAAAATCCCCGATCCCCTTTATAAATAACAAGAAAATTTATTCATTTAACCTTAACAATGAACAAATTAACAGAATTACTAACAAACCAAATAATTCCCACCTAAATATGAACTATTCCCTAACTGAACTATATTCTACTGGAATGCTGTTCAAATAAACACAAATCCCATTTATATGAACCCAATTAATAAGACAATAGTAAATCAAAACTTAATCTGTCCAAGTTCTCACAGGCTGTGTCTTCTGGAACACTCAGCCTTCTCCCTTACTCCACAACCACCTTTCTTCCACTGATTCTGCTGTCAGGGATGTTTTTCTCTGTAATTGCTTCTGTGAGGACTTTTAGCTAGAAATGCTGTGGTACCTTTTTAGGAATAGATGGGGCTTTCTCTAATACATTGATGACCGTGAGAGATAATGTTTCTCTCTGTCTCTTGAGAGCTGAGGGTTCTTAACCTGGGTGAATGGCAGTTAGCTCTGGGGTCTCTGTCCACCTGCCCCCATCTTTATACGTGATGACATAACAGTATTTCTTATGTAGGTTCAATGTTGTCAACACCATCAGATTTAAATTTGATAGGTTTTTAGTAGCTAAGGGTTTGGTTTAAATTGATTGGCTAAATTTGAAAACTGTTATCTTGGTAAAAAACAATGCTGCTTGGCCTTCAATATAAATGTTTCAATTTCAGGTACTTTCTGTATTGTTAACCTCCAGCAGCTGCTCACAGATGTATATTTTTAAAAACTATTTCTAAGTGCAAAAAATAACACCTCACCTCTTAAAGGGACCACGCACTCTTTCTCCCTTATTACTTTTGCAAACACATTCTAGCTTCCTGCCTTCCACATAACTTTGTAACACTTAATCAATGAGGCATCAGGTTCTTTTAGGACTGTTAATGTATAGTGAAACAGGATTATTAATGATCTCCCAATTCAAACGGTTTGATTGCCCATACACAGCATGTACACGACTGAAAAAGACACTTTATCAAAGTGGTTCATCTTGCAATCATCAGAACAATTTGCAAGAATACCAGTTTATAGGAAAAACTAAGATGCAGACTGTTCAAGACAAGTGTGCTGATTGGTTTGAAATGAATGTACTTGGTAAAGCCATTAACTTTGGGAATGTACCAGTTAATGACGATTGACATTGAACTGCCAGCTTCTGTTTAAATTTTAAAGCAGGCAAATTGAGTCTGGTTGGTCAGGGCATTACCAGATCACTCGTATTGTTCAGTTGAAACAGGCGCAGTGTGTGTAAACATTCATGGTGTCTGCAAGCTGTAAGGCTCTGTGTATATAGCTTCCAGTACATAATCTGCCCTTTCTCACCATTCCAATACTGATTCACCTGGTTTTGCTACGAAAGTGGATAAGCTCACATTTAAACATTATACTGTATTTACCCACTCACTCAGCCTGTCCAAATCACACTGAAATATCTCTGCATCCTCCTCACAACTGGACCATTCCCCTCCCACTCCAAGTTCCTCTGCATCCCAGGTGAGAGATCCTGAACCCGGGCACCAGGCAGGTAACACAACCTTTGGGACGGTGTCTATTCCCCTGACTGTACTAACCCCGATTATAACGACATTTCTGTTTTCTTCCCCCCTCTCTGTCCCACGGTGCTATGGTCAGTTTGCTCATCCTCCCTACAGCCCCCACTCTCATCCACACAGGGAGCAAGAAGATCAACCCTGTTAGACACGCTCAAGGGCTGACGCTGCTTCAGCACTACCCCCTTGGCTACCTCTACCTGCCTCGCTCACAGTCACACCCTCCTGTCCCTGACCACTGACTAAATACAAGGTAGTTAATCTAAGGGGGTGTGACTGCCTCCTGAAGCACAGCGTCCCGGTAACTCTCCCCCTCCCTGATGTGTCGCAGTGTTTGAACCTCAGACTCCAGCTCATCAAGTCTGAGCAGAGCTCCTCAAGCGACCAATACGTGCTACAGACGTGGCCACTATGAACCACAACAAGGTCCACCAGCTCCCCCATCCTGCAGATAAAATACATCACCTGGTCCGACATCTCTGTTTTAATCACTTCGTTCTTCATTTGATTTATAAAAATTGCATACTGATCTTTTAGTTTTTGAAGGGTAAAATATTTCTGCTGTTTACCTTTAGTCTGAAAGTAACCTGGAACAGATTGTCAAATTAGCAGCTTTACCCAACTGATAAAGTTACAGTTTTCCTGTAATGTCACTGTTTGTTTTGTGCTGGGTTCATGAATCTGAGCTTCAATTTATCCTCTTCAAAAAAAAACCTTACAAACTACCAACCAAAAAAGCAAGTAAAAATCATCTGACCCTCCTCTGCACTGAAATCCCACAGTGCTTCAGGATCTCTGTAATACTAACTCACTCAGGGTATGCCTCCTTTCTGTGAAGCTTCTTTGTGGTTTCATTTCCACTGCTCATCCAACTACTTTATAAAGTAACCTCCCTCCTCAGGGAATCATAGAATCACATAGTTCAGAACAAGTCAGTACCCCAAGCCTGCTGTAAATTTTACACTAGTCCTGCTTTCCTTAGCCTTGAATGTTATGCCACATCAGTGCTCATCCGGCTATTTTTTTTAAAGGTTTTGTGCCTCAACACTCCTCCCAGGCAGTGCATTCCAGATCTTCACCAACCTCTGGGTGAAAATCATTTCCCTCAAATCCCCTGTAAACCTCCTGACTCTCAAATTTATACCCCCTTGTTACTGACCCTTTAACTAAGGGGATCAGCTGCTTTCTCTCCACCCTGTCCACGCCCCTCATACACCTCAGCCTTCTCTGCTTTAAAGATAACAACCCGAACTTATTCCTAGAAACATGGAAAATCAGAGCAGGAATAGGCCATTCAGCCTTTCAAGCCTGTTGTGCCATTCAGTACAATCATGGCTGATTGTCTAACTCAGTCCCCTGTTTCTGCGATTTCCCCACCATACCCTTTGATCCCCAAGTGCCATACCTACACAGAACAGTACAGCACAGGAATGGACCCTACAGCCCATGACGCCAACTTAAACTAATCCCTTTTTTGCATTCATTAACGGATGAGGGCATCACTAGCCAGGCAGCATTTACTGCCCATCCCTAATTGCCCAGAGGGCAGTTAAAAGTCAACCACATTGCTGTGGGTCTGGAATCACATGTAGACCAGACCAGGTAAGGATGGCAGTTTCCTTCCCTAAAGGACATTAGTGAACCAGACAGGATTTTCCCCCAACAATCAATTCACACTGAATTCAAATTCCACTATCTGCCATGGCAGGATTCAAACCTGGGTCCCCAGAACATTATCTGGATCTCTGGGTTAACAGTCCTGTGATAATACCACTAGGCCATCGCCTGCCCTTGGTCCATATCCCTCCATTCTTTGCATAATCCAAAAGCCCCTTAAACGCCCTGATCACATTTATTCCACCACTACCCCTCGCTGTGCGTTCCACACTCCTACCACTCTCTATGTAAAAAACTTGCCCCTCACATCTCCTTTGAACTCAACCCACACACACACACACCTCCCTTAAATGCATGCTCCCTTGTATCACACATTTCAGCTCTGGGAAAAAGATTCTGACCGACAACCCTTCCTCACATGAGGAGACCAATACTCCAGGTGTGGTCTCACTGAGGCTCTGTATAATTGCAGCAAGACATCCCTGCTCCTGTACTCAATTCCTTTCGCTACAAAGGCCAACATCCCATTTACCTCCTTCACCTCCTGCTGCACCTCCCCCTTTCCCAATCCATCACCATTCAGATCATAATCT